CTACGGCTTCTGCTACTGCTACTAGTTCTGCTACTAGTTCTGCTACGGCTTCTGCTACTGCTAGTAGGACTGCTACTAGTGCTGCTACTGCCGCGGCTGCAGGAAAAAACCGGCGCTGTCAACCATGTCGCTACTAGCCCCCCCGCCCCCACCCCCCCCCACCCACCCCCCCTAAACACACGCGAAACGCTCGAAAACAGACAAAACTACCAGGCGCCAGGAGGCGCGCATGGGTACTAATGAGGATGAAAATATGGGCAGTTTTCCAAAGCAGGGTCCCTTTTTCGGTCCCACATATAGTACGGCACCTGAAAAAAAATGGACCCTAAAGGGACCCTAGTTTAGAGAACTACCCAATCATATGGGGTCCTCAATATTCAGAAGAAGGTTTGGGGTGTACATGCCCTAAACCCTTAACCGCACAACTGCCTGGCGACTAAGGGGGGGTAGTATAACTGTGCTCTTTCCGGGGCCGGGGGTGCAAGGTAGCTTTTGGAGGGTCCGGAATCTTAGCTCATCTCCTAGTCCTGCTAAGGCTCGTTGCCTAACTTTGTCTCGTGCCAGGTCGAGAAGGAGGTGGTCAGAGAAGTCCCGGTGGAGAAGATCGTTGAGGCGAAAATGCACCCCTGCGCACCACCTTCTAAGCCTGAAATCCCAAAGCCTAGTTGCGAGAACCTGACCCCGAAAATCTGCAATTCACAGAAACCAGAGTTGTGGTCGGGTGTAAAGGGAGATGCATGGAGCTTGCCTGCATGGTTTCCGCATTCAGGCACCTTCATCCGGAAAGCCTGCAGGATCTGTCTTCCTCAGGGCTTCGAAGCACAATCCCATATCCTCCATTAACGGTTCAAGTTTAGGGTTTACGCTTTAGGGTACCCTCGCAACCAAGTGACGCTTCTGAGCCTGAGCCAAGATCTGCCCTGCGACGGAGGTGGAAAAAGAGGTCATCAGGGAAGTTCCCGTGGAGAAGATTGTCGAGGTAGAGGTGGTCCGCGAGGTGTGACTGTGCCAATGCAACCCGTTTGTCTTTTTGCTTGTTTTCATATATGCTATCTGCGCCTGTTGTCCAGTCGAGACGTCCTTACATTTGATGGAGTTGGCGTTGCGAAGCAACTGCTCTGCAGTTGATCTTTCAGCGGTGTCCTTTTCAATTTTCCGGGTTGGATTTTTTCGCCAAGTAGCTTCTCCTAAGTACCTGCGTTTCCAGGCACTTTTTCATCAGTATGATTTTTCACCTCGGTCTATGCTTCAGTGGTCCTTTCCCATGGGCTTTCCCGAGCAGCCAGTTCCTTACGAATGGGGTCACCATAGTTTGGTTATATAACTGGCCAGCAACCTACTAGCTGGACCACCACCCCTCGAGCAGCCACGCTCTGGCGACTGAGAAGGTGTAGGAGCCAAGGTGCTTAGGTAGTAGGTTACTCGCGTCATGCTGAAATAAACTCACAATAATATGTTACGATGTGGTATGGTATGACGTGACATGGTATGATGTGGTTTGATGTGATGTGAGAAGTTCGACATAACATAATCAAAGATAATCATGGCATGATAGCCCACTATGCAGGCAACTGAGTGTCTAGGGACATCAGCAGGGGGAAATTTGAGCCGGCATACTCCCACATGTTAAATCCGAAAACCGAAACCCTGCACAGCGTGGTTATTAAGGCCCCTACATTGCCTGGTCTGTTTGTGCATTCAGAACTTGCAAGATGTTGCCGGCTTGATTTTTCGGCTTTAGGATCTCAGATCTAGCAGTTATGTTTGGATCAGGGATCCACTTTGCATCGTTGACCCCGTTCCTCCGTCTCTGTCTCGCTTCCTCGTTTGCTCGAATCCTGACCTGTGCAGCAGGTGGAAAAGGAGGTCGTTAAGGAGGTACCCGTGGAGACAATCCGCGAGGCGTCAACCACGGCAAT